TGCTCTACATGTTCAATGCGTCACAATATTTCAAATGAGCTTCCAGACTTAATGTTTTGATATCAAGACAAAAAAAGAATCTTGGTTAATGGACCCGATTTCACATGAATCAGATCTCACTACTTTATTAATCAAAGTCCAAAAACAGGAATTCAGACACACAACAGAAACAGAAACTCATTACTGAGGTCAGAGGTCAACGAACGATCAGATAAAGACGAAGTACAGGAAAGACATACACCAGGCATGAGCAAACTTTTTGACTCTTGGGCCACAATGGGTTCATGTGGAAGTCGTGTATAAATGGTAAAATGCTAACTTGCTTTTAGCCTTTTCTACGCTAGTTGATCGGGAAATGTGGACATTGCAGGAAAAACGCAGAAGGATGTTGACAATTCAAATTGATAATATGATTTGGACAAGTTTGACGGGCCGGATCAAAAAGCCAAATGGGCTGCATCTGCCCCCCGGGCCTCAGTTTGCCCATGCCTGACATATACTGTATACTGCATATGCTCAAGATACCAACTGTGACAAGTGAGACTAATGAAACCAGCAGAGCACAGAACACAGGTGAGAGTGATAAACTAGTTCCACAGGAAGTCAAGTCTGACCTTTTCCTACAGCCATGAATGTTTGAGTTTCAGTTTTCTTCTGTCTCCTCCACTGATGGTTACAGTGATTATTAAGCTGCGAGAAGAGACAGGTTTGCCCCATCTGCAGGTAGGTATTGGTCATCCCATCCATACTACTGTTGAAAAAATAGCTTAGCTCACGAGGCAAAGGTGGAGGGAAACCTAAAACCCTTTTGGAAAGGATATACCGCATTTTCCAGACTATAAGTCGCTCCGGAGTATAAGTCGCACCAGTCCCCTCTAGTGGCTCTCAGTGTTAAAATAACAAACATAAAAATGTTCAGTGGTACAGGAGTAGTAGATACTGGTACATAAGCCTAGAGTGCCCCCTGGCGGTGGTCACTGTGAAATTAACAAACATGTAAATATTCAGTGGTACAAGAGTAGCAGATACTAGTACATAAGCCTAGAGCGCCATCTAGTGGCTGTCAGTGTGAAAATAACAAACATGTACATTTTCAGTGGTACAGGAGTAGTAGGTACTGCTACACAAGCCTAGAGTGCCCTCTAGTGGCTGTCAGTGTGAAAATAACAAAGATGTGAAATGATATATTTCAATATATAAGTCACACCATTTCAAGTGAAGCAAAGGCATCACAGCCGATCCCAGAGTGGTAGTGATTGAAGCTGGAATACTGAAAATACAACTGAAGTTCTGGGCACTGAACTGAGGAATCGCAATACAGTAGATGAGTAATGGGGGTAGATATGAGATCAGAGTCATGACCAGACTGTTGATCACTGTCTGAAGAGCTCTTCTCTTTTGTGGGTGAATGGTATTGTTGCTCGGGTCAGACTTAATCAATGTGTAAATGATAAAGAAGTCGCACACTCCAATTATTACGACGGCTACTAGGTATGGCACGGTGGAAAACATGGTCGCAAATAAAGTGTAATCAAAAGCATATCCCAACCCAGAAGCAATGGTCAGAGTCCAAACAAGGCTCACCAGAATAACCCGCGGAGTCAGACTTTTCCTTTGATGGTAGGTAATTGGATGAACCACAGCCAGGTAACAGTCCAGACAAATACAGGCCATGGTCAAGGGTCTGCCACAAAGGTTCAGAGCAAAGACAAAACTCCAAGTTGTGTAAAATTTGAGATTGTGCAACCAAAAATCGTTGAGCAATCCAGGTGGGATGAAGAACATGAACACAGTGTCCATGATGGTGAGGTTGAACAAAAAGAAATAATATGGAGAAAGATGAATTCTTCTCCTGTGGGTCTTACACAGATCCCAAAGCAAAGCCACACATGCTGGGAACCCCACAGCAAAGCACAGGGTTGAACCCACCAGAAAAATCCACATGCGTTCTTGAACATGATCACAAATGTGGAAAATAAATCCTGCCCAGTCAAGTTCATTCCCGATGGAGTTGTTGAATAACTGTTTGGAAAGGAAAGGCTTCTCAGGCAGCATGGCGGAGCAGGGAGGTCGATCACGGACCTGAAAAGCAAATAATAAAACCTTATTGGAAGACAGAGGAAAAGTGCGTTAGTTCAATGGAGATTGTGGCGTGGAATCAGTCCTACAGTTTTCTGCTCTCTTTGGAAAAGTGTTCACTGGTGTGGCAGCGACGGCAGTGGCCAGGGCTGTGGTTGGTAATCAGTCAAAGTCATGACATGCTAATGTCACGTATGGAAAATAACAGACCACAGAGCAGAGTGAATCAACGAGGCAGTAAACCACTGTTTGACATGTCTGCTCTACGTGTTCAATGCGTCACAATATTTCAAATTAGCTTCCAGACTTAATGTTTTGATATTAAGACAAAAAAATAATCTTGGTTAATGATCCCGATTTCACATGAATCAAAGTCAAAAACAGGAACTGAACTCGGGAATTCAGACAAACAACACAAACAGAAAAGAAGTACAGGAAAGACATACACCAGGCATGAGCAAACTCTTTGACTCTTGGGCCACAATGGGTTCATGTGGAAGTCATATATAAAGAGGGTAAAATGCTAACTTGCTTTTAGCCTCTGGAGAAAAAAGCACAGGGGTGCAACTTCTGATCCCCTCCCTTCTGGGACAACAATGGCCCACCTGTATGTACGAAGCATCCACCTCACCACTTAGGATCCGGGTGGATCAGGACCGGAGCTGACGTGAATCTGTCTTTAAGTTGTTGGAACGCCCTCCCCGCTTCTGGTGTCCAGCAGAATGGGATCTTAACTGCTGTCAGGTGTCAAAAGTTTGGGAACCCAAGAAAATGCTGAAGCTGCTTCTCGGTAGAGGGGATTGGCCTTCCTCCAGCTTTGTTCCACAAGAAACCCCAGGAAACTAACAGACTTGACATGGAATTCACATTTCTCCGCCTTCACAAAAAGCTTTTTTTCCAGGGTTAGTTAGTCACGTAAAACGTCGTTCACTAACGCCTGAAAAACTGCCAGGGCGTTAGTTAAACCGAACGGCAAAACGAGATAGATACTCGAAATGCCCCCGACGCCGTGTTAAAAGCCGTCTTCAATTCATCGCCCTCTCTAATCCGAACCAAGTGATACGCATTGCGTAGGTCCAGCTTAGAGAAAACCGCCACCCCACACAGTTGTTCAAAGGCTGAGTCGATGAGGGGCAGTGGGTATTTATTTCTTACCGTGATTGCGCTCAACCCCCTAAAATCTATACAAGGGCGCACCTTCTTGTCCTTCTTGGTTACAAAAAAGAACCCCGCCTCTAAAGGGAACAAAGACGGCCGAATTTACCCCCGCAGCCATCAATTCCCTCAGGTAGTTCTCCATGGCCTCCCTCTCGGCGTGGGACAAATTGTATAAGGGACTAGAAGGTAACTGAGCCCCCGAGAAGGTCAATAGCGCAGTCATGGGGACGGTATGGGGGTAACGAGGATACCGTCTCCTTGCCTAAAATTTGCTGTAAGTCATGATACCACGTTGGTACGCTGGATAAATCTGGGGCCACCGGAGGTGGGGAGGAAACTAACGAGGACGTCAGTGACAGGGCAGAGTGCAGACATAGTGAATGGCAATGGGTGCTCCAGCTAAGCACTGCACCACTAGTGCAGTCGATGTGGGGGATTATGTGTTGCTAACCACGGCCTACCAAGCACCACGGGCGCATGGGGGGAAGACAAGATCGAAAATTGTCACTGTTCCTGGTGGTTACCCAACAAGCGCAGCCCCACCGGCACCATCCGATGAGCTACTGCCGCGAGTTTTGTCCCATCTAACGCATAAACATTCTGGGGCGACGGCAGAGGTTCGGTCGGGATCGACCGACCTGCACGGGGGAAAGCGGAATCTGAAAATCAGCTCCGGAGTCAATGAACACAGGGACTGGAAAACACTCTCTCTCCCGCAGTAGCGACCCCTGCAGCTGGAGACGTGGGGATGGATTATCTGAGGACGTATGCCCTGTCCTCCTGGTGAGCCCTGTCTTTTACCATTGTGGACAACTCCTAATAAAATGCCCCCTATGTCCACGGAAAAAACAAACACCACCAGATCAGAGTGTAAGCACATCAAAACAATACACTGCAACACTGTATTCTCTGAGTTTATTGCATTGTGACAGATTCAGTGTACATTATAATAAAATCGACACTACACTTATCTTCAGGTATACATTTAGACAGGTGCAAAAGACAGGAAATAAATACATTACAGCACAGAAGCCATGAAATCGTCTAATTCTAACTTGACGACAATCAACAGAGGTTTTAACAATACATTACACCTATTTCTCATTCTCAGTCTTTAACAAAACAAGAGGAAATCATCTAATCTTTTCTGCAGCATCCAAACATAAAGTGTTCCAGTTTACCTAGGTTATTCAAGTGAAGCAAAGGCATCACAGCCGATCCCAGAGTGGTAGTGATTGAAGCTGGAATACTGAAAATACAACTGAAGTTCTGGGCACTGAACTGAGGAATCGCAATACAGTAGATGAGTAATGGGGGTAGATATGAGATCAGAGTCATGACCAGACTGTTGATCACTGTCTGAAGAGCTCTTCTCTTTTGTGGGTGAATGGTATTGTTGCTCGGGTCAGACTTAATCAATGTGTAAATGATAAAGAAGTCGCACACTCCAATTATTACGACGGCTACTAGGTATGGCACGGTGGGAAACATGGTCGCAAATAAAGTGTAATCAAAAGCATATCCCAACCCAGAAGCAATGGTCAGAGTCCAAACAAGGCTCACCAGAATAACCCGCGGAGTCAGACTTTTCCTTTGATGGTAGGTAATTGGATGAACCACAGCCAGGTAACAGTCCAGACAAATACAGGCCATGGTCAAGGGTCTGCCACAAAGGTTCAGAGCATAGACAAAATTCCAAATTGCATCAAATTTGAGATCGTGCAACAGTAAATAATTCAGGAATCCGGGTGGGATGAAGAACATGAACACAGCGTCCATGATGGTGAGATTCAATAAGAAGAAAGAATGTGGTGTGAGGAAATTTCCATCTCTGCGCGATTTGAACATATCCCAAAGGATGGCCACAGATGCTGGAAAACCCACCAAAAAACACAGCAATGTGCCGGCTAACCAAATCCAAATTTGTTCTTTATTGTTTTCGCAGAGGTTTAAATCATTTAGATCCAATTCAGAATGGTTGGACAAATGCGGGAAAGCAAAAAACATCGTGATCTTCTTTCCACAGCAGTGGATGAAAAGCCTGAAATCACAAAAAATAATCATAATTTAAAGATATTTCAGAGCAATACTAAAATATAAAAAAAATGCATCCAATATATAAAGAACTGGAAAATATATGTGTATTATTATTTGTAAACATGTTATATGTTATACATATATGTAAATATATTTATGTGTAATATGTTTATATTTATGTGTAAATAAATATATGTATGTATGTATGTATGTATGTATGTATGTATGTATGTATGTACATACATGAAAATATACAATTACTTCCTGAGATATTATATATATATTTTATATATGTATTCATATATACATATATATACATATATATGTATATATATATATTTCCAGTTCTGTAGGAACTGTTTAGTTTTCATCAAACAATCATTTCAGTCTACCGTCAATGAAATAAGATAACACTTACAGCTCAGCAAGGGTTGTTCAGCCACTGCAGTACGACTGTTGCCTTGGCAAACGTTCACAGGTGTGAAAACTACAGGTTTTTCCGTCATCAGATTTTGATTCAAATAAGCTGACCACAGAGTATTTCAACAAGGGAGCAAGCATTTTTATTGATTTATTCAGAAAAACCAATAACTCTCTAAGTAGAATTGCTGCCATTAAAGGTCAAAGATGTCAAGTGGACTTGATCACATGGAGTCACTGTCCTCTTCTGGTCAGCGGTCATGTGACATGAAATGGATCAATTTTACATCAGCAGGGTCGGGTGGGTGTTGCAGCACAAAAGTCTATACGTAGTAAGTTAGACTAAAGGATGTGGAAGGGACACGTGCTCTTTTTTCATTTATGAATTGGTATCGATATTTTATGAGAGTAATCGATACTCAATAGATACTCATGTGAGTATCGATATACCGATAGCCACACGTCTTTCTAACTGGAACAATAAATTTAAAAAAATTAAAGAGAAACTGGGGTTAAAAAGTCTGGAGCTAGCCAAAGAAGCTAGATGGCGAATGGATGAGGAACCATATAGGCTAACGTTTGTTGCTGTCACTCATGAATCCAGTGACTTGTTCTTATGATATGATGCAAATACGCAGAGATCAGATTTGCATACGTTACGTTGTGGGAACGCTTACATAAAACATTTGTTATTAATGGATATGCAAATGTTGGTGATGTTAGCACTCGGATACAAACCAAAGCACGGAAACAGGAAAATGAAGGAACATTGTTTGCATTACACTGTTTCGCAGAGGTAAATCCCAGGTCCGGCATGCTACCTTTTTATTTGACTTCATTTTACATAAATATATACAGCACGTATGTGGATGGGAACCCAAGTAGGGTTGCTCCACAATTAACGCACTCAAGATTCTGTTTCGCAGTAGTGTACTCATTGCAATCGTACTGTGATGTAACACCACAGAAGTAATGGTTTTCCTTTATCTGTGTCTAGCGGACGACCACCGTGCTCTAATTCGGGACATACAGCAGTTGCCGCAGGACATTGAGGACCTTATACTGGCCCATACAGCTGAAGGGGGGGGGATCAATAATGTACAGTGGGCCTGCACCCAGCCTGACTGGAGTGCTGTTTGTTTCAGCAAAGGCCTGGAAATCCTGTCTGAGTCTGAGAGACGGTACAGACATAAAATTATGTTCATGCAAAGAAAGATAAAAAAACGAGAAAAAAAAAAAGCTGTGAAACATAAAAATGGGTGAATTAAAAGTTGTTGTTTTTTTCTGATAAATTAGAATTTGCTGCACCACACAACTACAGATTTAAACCGGAAATAAGGGATTGTATCTTGTATGTAGCAGGTTTTTTTATAAGAATATGACAACCAATTATTCGACGTTATGCGTATATTAAGAACGTTACACAAACAACATAATTATATATACAGTATATAAGTTTATATACATTTTTATTTATAAAATTATATAATTATATTTATATCAGCGATGAATGAAAACTGTCTTCAACCAGTTTCCGGTGGATTTAATTTTATGTTGAAAATCTTTCACGTTGTACGTAACAGGAAGTGCCGGGTCGCGAGCAAGGACGGCGGAGCTGTAGCGTGTTCTGTTCAGGGATCACCTCTGGTTAGTCGGTGCAGTTAAGTCTGACCAGCACTTTGACCACGGTGATGTTGGGGGCTTCGGTCGTCAGGACACTCCGGTTCCCGGTCCCCCACACACTACTGTTTCCGGTGTCATGCCGGACCTCGGCGGTTGTTTGTAGCCCAGCCCTGTCATCGCTACAACTGTTAGCACCGTGGAAGTGTTGTGTTCGCAGGTTACAGCTGTGCTCCGCCTTATTTGCAGGGCACAATAAGTGGTCAAAGGTGAGACACATCAAGGGACCCAAAGATGAGGCTAGGGCCAAGATGTTTTTGAAGTTCAACATGATGATCAGAATAGCTGTGAAAGGTGAGCGCCAAGAGATGCAGAGATATACCACAGTTGTATACATCTTCTGTTGAAAATAGAAAAAAAAACAAAACTTTTTTTAAATTTTTTTTTTTTTTACTGTTCTGGCATTACTTAAAAAACAACTTAAAACATCACTTGTTCAATTCCTGGTACATTAAGTGGTGGTATTTAAAGTTATATAAAGTTTTTTGGGTTTTTCAGGTGCTCCAGTTTCCCTGGGCAACAGTTCAAAAACATACTAGATTAGCTTAATTTAGCGCAATTTCCCGACCTTTTTTTAGCCATATTTTATATTTAAATAAAACCTCACCAAACAAAACTTTCACAATTCATATATAATGGTGTTTTAGTTTCAATTTGCATACTCGAGAAATCTGTTTATTTGAACACAACCCCAATATACTAACAGGAATTGAAGAAAGACATACATTAGGATCAACAACCCCTAAGTTCACTTCCTCGGCTTCCTACGTTTTTACAGTCATTTGTTGCCACCTAGTGGTAACAGTGTTTAATTGTTCGGCCTGTCTCTGTCGCAGAGATGAACAAATACATCGTACTACAACTGAAAAGCGTGTTTATTTTGGTGACATTTTAATATTACCGTATGTTTTTTGTTGACGATTCTTGTCTACAGAAGGAGGACCCAACCCAGACTTTAACGCAAACCTGGCGCAGATTATGGAGGTTTGCCGGAGCAAAAACATGCCCAAAGCATCTGTGGATAATGCTATCAAGAGTGCAGTGAGTTTCTTGCTGAGACTTAAAGTTCAACTTTGTTTTATACAGTATTTTTGCAGACACTTGAAGGGAAGATTTTCCACCCACCCATCCACACTTATCTCTGCTTCCTCCTCTGCAGGAAAAGGCTAAAGCAGCATCACAGATGGTGTACGAAGCCCGAGGACCTGGTGGGTGTTTGCTGCTCATCGAGATACTCACTGACAACCTGAACCGCACACGTCACGAAATGAAATTCCTGCTCAGCAAGAATGGGTAAATAGTTTTTTTTTAATCAACATATAATATCTGAATATTGACACGTAAATCGGGGGAATGCGGTGCAGCTCGTGTACAGCTGGGTTTTAAGATGGCTGGTGTAATTTCACACTTGACGGGTTCACATTGCACATCACTTCGTTTGTCCGCAGTGCGGCTCTGTCAGAAGGAGTCCGACACGGCTTCACTAGGAAAGGTGTGGTGACGTCACTGGCCAAAACCCTGTCTTTAGAGAGAGCTCTAGAGCTGGCCATCGAGGCGGGAGCTGAAGATGTCCAGGAGACGGAGGACGAGGAGGAGCAGCCTCTCCTGAAGGTCAGAGCCGGTAGCTGTAACACATAGTGTGTTATTTGTGCTTAGTACTTTGTGTAAATAGTACTTTTACGGTTGACACTTTGATAACTGCAGAAAACAGCATTTTCAATGAAAACATAATTCAAAATGTAAAAGCTCTGCTCACTTTCTGTTCCGCTAAACATAAAGTTTAGTTGTACAGTAATCCCTCTCCTATGGCAGTAGTCGACCCACTGCGAAATAGGAAAAATTGCGAAATAGGAAAAATTGCGAAGTAGAGCCGAGATAGTTATTCAATTATTTACATATAAATTCACCCTTTGCGAACCTCTCCCACTCTTATCAACCCTCCCTAGACTGTATTACCCTTTTACAGTTGTATAATGGTGACGCGGAGCAAAGTGAACAAGCCAATCAGCAAGAGGAACAAAAGAGCTTGCTCAGTTAGCCAAAAGTACACCGAGCACGCATTGTATCAGCCAGTATGTCTCTTATTTTTTATATATCGCAATATGGCGAATGTTTCGCGAGATCGGATTAAAAAAAAAAATCTCCGATGAACTGCCGGAGCGAAAGGAGAACCGCGATATAGAGACGGAGCACTGTACTGTTTTTTTTTTTTGTTTTTTTTTTGTTTTTTTTATTTTCTTTATATCTGTAGTTTCATTGATGCATCGTCCAATTGAAATCCAACCGCAAAGACGTGTCTGTGTTAGTGCCAGGCATGGGCAAGTACACAAATATAAATATTTGCGTCTTTTTGTGGTTCTGTAGTGTAGCAGTGTAGCACACCTGCCTCGGAAGCAGAGGGCAGAGAGTTCTGGGTTCGAATCCCAGAGGAACTAGATGCTTGATAATGTTAGTGTATTAAAGAAAAATGTAATTTCCACTGAAACTATCGCGTCGTTTCCTCATGCATACACACAGGCGGCGTTGGTTGATACATTGCCATACACACAGGCGGCGTTGGTTGATACGTTTGTGATTGTTAACAGCTTGAATGATACGGCCTGTAAAAAACAATAACCTTTATTCTGTTCTCTGTCTAGTTCATCTGCGACATCGTGGAGCTGAAAAACGTGCGGACTGCATTAGAGAGTGAGGGAATGTCCATCGTCTCCTCTGGGGTGGAATGCATCCCCCGCAACATGTCCTCTCTGAACGAGGAGCAGCTAAACGTTGCCGCTTCACTGTTAGAAGCGCTCCAGAATTGTCCAGATGTGGTCAGAGTGTGGGACAACATCCAGGCCAGCAGCTGAGGACCACGTCTGGACAGCCAGGAGCTAGCAACCATGACTCTACTACAGACTCTCTGACAACCGTACACTTCGGTGGGCGACAGTTGTGTCGTTCGACGATGACATAATATATCACCAAAATTTACGGCTCAGCGTTTTCACTCATTATTATTATTACAAACCTGAGCAGTAGAACAAAAATACAGCTTTTACACGAGGGACGACGTGTTTTTCTAATTGTCACTCACTTTAATATAGTGCAGTACTTCTCAAATAGTGGGGCGGGGCCCCCTTAGTGATGCGCGGTGAGGTGCCAGGAGGGGCGTGAGGGGCTTTCAATGGAATATGGCACGCTGGAGTTTTAAGTGCACTACTGCTGTAATGCCTGAATGATAACACTAGGTGGCAGCAACTCATACAGTGGTTTGTACAGATGAAAATATCAGGTTCTCAGTAGTATTTCAGTTTGTGGGGTGTGGGTCGGGAAGGGTCGTAAAAACATTTCTATCCCCAAGGGGGGGAGGGGGCATGACGGGAAATAATGAAGAACCACTTATATACTGGTACCCAAAGTGGGTCGCATCCCTGTCCAGGAGACACGGAGCTCCTGTGGGAAAACGTCTTTTTTAATTTATCAACCTAGGAAAAATAGCAGTTATTTGCGATGTTATTTTTAATTTTAATACAGACACTTTTTTTTTTTAAGTCAACAACTGTGAATGTGTTGAAGTGACTTAATTGATAAGACTACTCACAAGAAGATGGGGAAGGGGTCACCGCTTTAATAAATCATAGATCTAAGACTGAACACCGGTATGCTGTAGTCACCATGAAGGCATCACTTTAGATATTAAATATAAATATACATATATGTATATATGTATACATATACATTTACTTATTAATCATGGTGGTTGAGGCCACATGGTAAAAGGCAGTTAAACATTTTGTCCATTGGAGGATGTTTAACCCAAAAAGTACTTAGATTTACAATTATATTTAATAAAATGTTTATATTTAATACAATTATTGGGATCATGGGAATATAATTATATTATTAGTGACATTTAGTTGTGGGCCCTATAGAGGGGGTTTGCGGGCCAGAAGTGGACCCCGGACAGGGAGTTGGAGACCACTGCTCCTAAACCTAAAAACATATACACTATACGCTGTATATGAAAACCCAACATTTGACCCCAGGTTACAGTTGAAGGACATTTTGAGACCATCACAGGTCATTACCCCCTCATATTACTGTAGTGTCAACACAGAAGTCAATAAGAACCCACATTAACAGTATACATGCAACATATCGAGCGGCTTCTCTAACTTCACTCCCAACTGATTCGGACTATTGCGTCACACGGGGGGGTGGGGGGGTCATGTGTGTCGCAGCCTGAACTGTACTAAAAAGCTGCGGTCCCGCAGCTGGTCTGGTGTCCGCAGACAGCCCACCGGGGCGATGAAATAGTAATTTGACAGTAATGAGGAAGTCCACTCTAACGGCTCTGGGCCCATTTGCTCTGCGTCCGTCGATGCCCGTCATCGATTCCTCTGTCAGTTCCTCTCAGCTATAGCATTCCATTGATCGGTGTGCAGGGTTTGGTGAATGTTGTGTCGCCACATGCAGGTTGCAGGCCAGTCTTCTGCCCTGTGCCAGAGCGGAGGGTCCGGCGTCATCGTCAACAACTGCATAAAGATTTAGTTTGACACC